CCAAAAATACGTGTGAAAACTAACAGTCACTAACGCTGTAAAAGCAGATTGTAGCTGCTGATAGCTGCAGCCTGGGAAAAACACCACAGGGACCCGGGGCCGGGTCACAGCGGGATTCAGGGTGGTGCAGCAAGAGACCCCATGTCCCAGTGATGCTGATCCCCATTGCCCATCGCTGCCTCCCCACATCCCGCCGGCACTGCTCAGCCTTGGGTCTTGTGACTGGAGAAAATCCAGAGAGCCCAGCAGGCCTCTAGTGTGAATTTTTTTATTATTTTTGACCCGAGCTCCTGGGTGCAGAGGATTTTATGAGCATCTTACTTGCTCTTTTGGGGTTTCTTCTTTTTTTTCCACCATTAAATGCTGCTTCTTGCCTTTCAGGTTGCTGGGAAATCATGAGGCATGTGCAACCTGCAGAAATCAGGGTGCAGATAAGGAGGCAGATAGTGCTTTGGGTTTATTTTAGTTTTAAACTCTGCGTTTTGAAAGGCCGAGGTTGGGGAGCGGGGGAAGAAATCACTCAATTTGAGCAGCCCAGCCCTGATCATAATCTCAAGCAGAGGAGTTTGGTGTGAAATCAGCTTTTCAGCCAGGGCTGGTCCCTGTGCAGAGGCAGCCAGGATGCCGGGGGCCAGAGGACACGGGAAATGAGTCAGGCAGCACACGGCGGGGGACTCTGGGGAAGGGGAAGAGTTCAGCCCGGGATGGCTGGGAGAGGATGAAACGCCGGGGGACAAGCCGTCTGAACGGCACAACATGGGTACCACAAAGCCCCTTCCCCCAGTTGGTGTGGAAGGGGACCATCATCCCAGACGAAAGCTTTTTGCCCTCGGGATCAGCTCTGCCACGGGTGCCCTGAGTCCCCCACCCACCACTTTGGGTTGAAAACCTTTCCCTTTTGGGCTGCTTTCCCTGTTATGGGGACAGTGGGATGTAGGGTGACCCACATCCCACTGCCTGGCACTGGCAGAGGGGAAAGAGGGTGCTTCCCTGGCACAGCCGCCAGCCAGGAGCAGGGCACAGACTCCAAAATAAAGAGAGGGCTCCAAAACCCCAGAGATCTACATCAAAGCCACGTGATGCCATTCGTTTCACTGGGTTCCTGGTTCCCACAGCCAGGGAGCATTGCTGCTGGCCTTTCCCCGTGCCTGGGTTAGGTGGGTGAGGGTGAGATGGGCTGGTCCAAGCCCGGCGATGTGGCTGCAGCTTCTTCCAGCAACGCCTGTGGCATGTTCACCATTGCTCCCACGTGAGTAACATGTCTGAAATCGGGGCTTGGCCGTGACTTTCTTGGTGAAATCTCCCCTGGACAAGGACGGCAGCATCTGTTCCATCTTATTTCTATAAGTTTGCATCTTCCGACAGCAGGAGATGGGCCCATCCCCGCAGCCTCAGGGTGGCCGGGTACCAGCCAATGCCTCAGAGGCTGCACAACCCACTCCCACCCCGGCGAGCAGCTTTGGGGATGAGATGCAGATCCCCGCCAAGTTTTCCAGCCTTGGATAAAAAAAAACCCTCTGCTGCTTTTTGAAGAAAGTGATGGCATCTTGGCAGGAGCCAGCTGGGCTATGCAGGGGCAGGGGTGGTGGGACTATGAGCCACCGCTTCCTGGGGACAGGCGAGGGTGGACCCATCTCAATATAAACCATCTCTGCAAGCAACTGGGGAAGTCCCGGGTGACAGGGGCCAGGCAAGGACCTTAAAAAAGGAAACAGCACCCACGGGGTGTGCATTTAGTGGTTATCTCACCATCAGCCCCAGCAAGGTAATGGAAAAGCTGATCCGACCAAGACAGAGATTTAAAAGGGAGAAGAATAAATCAAACAAATCCTTTATAGAAAACAGACCTGACCTGGCAAAGCTGCTTTGATCACGTTCATGACTTTGGCTGCCCCAGCTGCAGCAGCCATCCCATCCTGCGGGTGCTGCACTTAGATCTTCTTCCCCCAGGCTTATTGATCCACTGAAAAGAGAAGCGCCGCAGCATCAATAAAGCATCTGCAAACACGGCTGGAAAAGCAACTCTCACCCAGGGGCGAGCAGCATTTCCAGGGGGGCTGTGCAGCCGAGCGGGCATCCCGATGTGCCTGGCAGTGCCCATCCTGCCCCGGCAGCTCTCTCTGGCAGCCTCAGCAATGCAGCGCTCTGCAAGACGAGGCTGGGGCTGGTTCTGAGCACGGAGAGTGACTAAGCACCGACACACTCCCGATGGAGGCAGTGGTTTCCCCAGGAGCTGCTTGTGCTTTCTGTTCAGGGACGCAGAGAAGCCATGGGGAACAATGCCTGTGTGGGGCAGCCGTGGGGTGGCCATGGGGTGGCTGGGACCACAGAATCCACCGCTGCCCCCCGGGGCTGGTGGGATTGAGACATCCTCATCCCCCCCAGCAGTGGGAGATTTGGAGCCCCTGCAAATTTTTTGGAGGGGGCAATGAGCGCTCAGCCCCCAGCGGGGTCCCAAATGTCTCTGCCAGTCCCCAGATTTGCCACCTTCCCCTGCGCTTCTTGGCAGCAGGAGCAGGATTTGTCCCATATGTTTTGCAGGTGCCAACACCTCCCACCCCTGCCGCAGGGCTCAGCCCTTCTCCCTACTGATGCTCCCACCACACCAGGGGTGGTGGGAGGAATGTAGGGATGAGGCAGCATTTCCTGGGGTCCCCCACCTGTATCCCCCACATTTCCCAGAGGCATTTTCCCAGCCATGGGATTTCCTGGTAAGCAAGGGTGTTAAAAGTCAGGGCTGGCAGAGCCCTAAGACCCCATGCCATGGCCTTGGAAGAGGGGGCAGGCGGAGATGGAGGCTGGTGCCCTGTCCCCAGTGGCTCTCCTCCTTGCCATGCTCTGCAGCCAATCTCGGAGCCAGAGCTGTGAGTGCTGCCAAGGAGCCCGCCATGAAATGGGGGACGAAAGGAAGAAAAAGCGTGTTTTTCAGCCCAGACCACATGCGGGATTGGGGCACCCACAGGGCCACCCCAGAGCAGAGACTGGATTCGCTCATCACAGCAGTGGGTCTGCCCATGTCCCCTGCCCTTCTCTGCATCAAACACGGGAGGGCTGATGAGCTGGAAGGGGGTGAAGACCAGTTTCTCCTAAATTCATCAAGAGCCACAGGAGCACCTGGTTTTGGCTCTGGCCCCTCTGAGCCCCCATGGACATCCCCAGCTCCAGTGTCAGGTCTGTGAAAACCCAATAAAGCCCCGTCCTGGCTGATGTAGGGAGGGGAAAGGGGAAAGGGCCCTCCTGAGACTCAGGTGGGCCCCAGGGACCCAGGGGTGCTCAGGGACTGCCAGCTCCAGGGGCCCAACCAGGGCTGAAAATCCCCCGTGCTCCAAAATCCCTCATCCGCAGGGTCTGCTCGCCCCATGGGGCAGACACTAGCACCGGGGCTTGGGACGGAGGCATGTTGGAGGTGCCAGGAACATCATCCCCGGAATTCCCTGGCCTGATGTATCCCAGTGTTTTGCATGGGAGTCTTTAAAAGGGGCCTTTCCCAGTCGAATAAACCCTCTTTTGTTTTCCTTGTGCTTCTGTTTCATTTTCTTATTGCAGGGAATATTTCCTCACTTAGGAGGTGACATTTATCCCAGCTGGGCCAGGAGGTCCTTGGTGCGTGGGTATAAGAAGGGGGATAAGAGGGAAAGGATGGATCCAGGAAGGGAAAGGCAAGCCAGGCAGCTGCACTGGACCGGGACCAGAGGCATCCGCTTTCCTTTGCTCCCCAGGGTCTTCCCAAGGAGAGATTAAATGGGAGTTGGGGTGACGACGGGAAGGTGCTCTGCTCTGCCAGCTGGGCATGGAAACATGAACCCTCCCTTGTCCACATCCGCCAGCCCTGGGGCATCGCCCAGCCCTGCTTGCGGCACCCCACTGTTACCCAGCACGTGCGCCCCAAAAAATTGAGGCTGATTTTTGGGAAAAGGCTTTGGAGAAGAGCAAATGGAGGATCACATGTGGTCCCACCATGGAGGCAGCCCCCATTCCCATCGGAGCAGGTCCCTGCCTGGACCAGCACCCCATGCCCTCCACAGCCGGGTCTCCATGGTGGGTCTGCACTGCAGCCCAGGGTGGCCAAACTGTCGGCAGGGTGCCATCAGCATCCCCAGCCCCGCGCGGTGGGATGCGGCTGCCTGCACAGCCAGGCTGGTGGGGATGCGTGTCTGCATCTCCCCTCTGCTTCCCACCATTCGCCAGCTGCTGGCAGCTGGGATGCGCCCTGGGATTTGCCGGGGCTGGGGGGAGAGGGGGCTTTTTGGACAGCTGTGGCCAGGCAAAATCCACTGGGGGAAGCCCCAGACTGGCCTCTGCCTTTCCCAGCTCAGCACAGCCAAGAACATGAGCTGCTGCTTCAGCGCTGGGGGGAGGGAAGCGGAGCCACCTGCCTGGCCTCTCCTGGCCCAGATGGGCCCCAAACACCCCCAAAACCAGCAGAGAGCTGTGTACATGCCTGGTGCAACCAAACAGAAGCTGTTTCTCTATGTCTTTTTTCAGGAGGGGGATAGTAATTGGCCGTTTGTCCCCTGGGCCGGGATGCAAAGTGATAGGATGCAAAACTTTGCAGTGCAGCGGGAGGACATGGACCGTCAGGAGTTTGTGCAGCTGCTGGGGACCCTGCAGGGTGCTGAACCCAGCCCTGGTCCCATCCAAGGGAGATCCCCAGACCCTCTCCCCCCCCCTGGGGCTCCTGCCATGGGGCACGCAGCCTGCCCAGGGGACGGGAAAGCGGAGCCAAATTTTAGGAGCAACCCAACCACTGGCCCTAATGCTGGAGGCAGGAGCTCAGGAAAAATCCCAAGGCCATCAGGGGCCAAAAGCACGGCCCGGGAGCAGGTTTTTCCCTTCCTGAGGCTGTGCTGGGAGGGGATGAGTATTGCTCACCCTCTGTGCTTTGGGATGTGGCAAGGGACCAGGTCCTCCCCCTGCCCACGCAACCACTGGCCCTGGGGGAAGCCAGCCCCACTGCTCGCCCATAAAAGCAGCCCAGTGGCCCTGAACCCAGCAGGCAGCAGCTCTGCCCCGGCACCACCAAGCAGCCCTCCCGCAGCCCGGCATGGCGAAGGCAGCCGGGGTGGTCTGTGCCGTCCTCCTCCTCACCACGCTGTGCTGCCAGAGCCTGGCTCAGAGTGAGCACTGACACCCGCTCCATCCTCGTGGGCTGGGGGCTGGGGGCAGCCCCCAGGGCCATGGGGACGTGTTTGCTTCGTGCATGGGGTGCAGGGGGGCTCCCCACAAAGAGCCACCGTGCCCATGGCGGGGGGGCTGAGATGGGAGGTGGGGGTCTCCAGGCTAAGCTGAGCTTCCGCTGTCCCCCCAGGAGCCCCAGCCATGCCAGACAAGTGCTGCTTCAACTTCCAGACAAGAAGGATCAAGAGAGACAACGTCATTGACTGCTACCGCACCAGCCCCGAGTGCCCGCACCAAGCTGTGATGTGAGTACCCTAAACCCAGCCCCGGGGGTAAAGCCCCTCTAGACCCTGCCAGACCCCGTGCCTTGGTTTGGTGGGTCCACTCCTGATCCTCTGTGCCTCCAAGCCTCTCGGAAACTCAGCGCCAGGGTCCCCGTACCACCACCCCGCTAACCCCGTCTTCTCTCTGCCCTAGCTTCAGGGTAAGGAGCGGGAAGGAGATCTGTGCCCAGGCGAGCAGGGCCTGGGTGAAGAAGTACCAGCAGAGCTTCCAAGTCAGCTCCTTCTCCATCCCCAGCTAGCGGGGCGGCCGGAGGCAGCGCGAGGAGTCCCCTCCATGGGAGACGGGACACCGCAAAGGCGACCCCTTTTCAGAGGTGGCTGTGGGGACATCACATTTGGATACAGCAGCTCGTTAGGGACATCCTCGCCATCACGCTGTGATGACCCTCACCACCTCCCTGAAGGCAAAGGGCCTTTGCCATCCTCAGCATCCCACCAGGATGGGGTATGCCGACCCAGCAGGGTGCTGGGGTCCAGACCCTCCATGCTCTCAGCTGTGTTTTGTGTGCAGGCAGCTGCCTGTACCCCTCGCAGGCGGCAGCAGTGTGTTGGTGAGGCTGCACTCGCCGGCCTGGCAGTAACAGAGGGGTTAAGGGAGACCAGCCTCACGGTTATTTTTTGTACAACACACTGAACAGAATTAAACGTGATCTCACGCATGCAAACATCTGGCTGTGCAAGTGTCTTGGGAGCACGCAGATCCTGCTGCCAGCATTCCTATCCGGGTGTTAAACCACATCTGTAAGCACTGGGGTCAGTAAGGAGCTGAGAAGAGCCGAAGCCCCAACCATGTCTCTGCGAGGGTGGCTGGGGCTTGCATGGAGCCAAACCATATCGATGCAGGCTTTGGGGAAGCCACCAGTGAGAGGGCCAAGAGGCAGGCTCAGCCCGTGAGGAGGGGGCTTCCCATGCTTCTCGTCAGCTATCCTAATGAGTGGAGACCCCTGGCCCAAATTCGATCAGAGCTGCCCCTCGGGGATGCCTGGTCGGGCGCCACTGACAGCCCACACTCCCGGGATGCCACGAGGAGATGTGTATGGGCACTGCCACTGTGACAAGGCACCGTGAGAGGCCACCATGATGGGCAGCCAGCGATGGGTCTCAGGGTGGGCTGGGGCAAGCCCAGCCCCTGCCAAGCCACTCACCCCCGTGCAAAATTGCAAG